ATTTTCCACTCTTTAAAGTCATTAAAATTGTCAGACTTATGTTTAAGCTGAAAGAGCCAATTTTCCTCGAAAAATCATCTATGATTAAAAGGAAAAATCTGAAACCAGTATGTGTGGGGACAAAAGCTGGTCCCCAAAGATCAGCATGCAAATACTCAAGAATAGACACAGATTTATGCATCCTAGACAGAAATGGTAATCTATTTTTCTTTCCGAGTACGCAACGGTCACAAAAACTGAGTTTCTCAATTATGTTTTTACCAAAAGCACCTTATTTTTTCAAAATCTGTAAGCCTTTGTTACTAATATGGCCCAATCTTTTATGCCATAATTATGACTTATCACTGGGGGCAAAAATTGCTGCTGATGTGGAGTCAAAAAAGTTTTGTGTGTGTAAAATGTAAAGCCCATGTCTTTTGCAAGATTCGGCAACAAGTTGAGAGCCCCTCAAGATTTTAATGCATCCCTTGTTAATCACAATATTTTAGTTCAGGTCATCTAGGACACTAAGGATATCAAATTTCTTTATAGGTCAGGAACATACGTAGTCTTTTCTAAGGTCAATTCATTATTACCATCGAACCTTAAGGTAACTGATCCTATTCCTTTTACCTGACAAAACGTGATTACTCATTAACACTTGGCCTCCATTTATATTTTCAAACTCAGTAAGCCACTCTCTTTTAGAACACATGTTAAAGGTACAATCGGTAGGTTGGACTCATTATTATAGGCTAAAGCACCACCACCATCATTATTAGACTTATTCTTCAAGTCATTAAATCTCTTATGATATTCTTTGATAAAATAATCTTCACCTAGACTGTAGAAACATTTTTTACCCTTAGTCTTGGTTTTCATTTTATCTTTAAAGTTCAACTTTTTTTGTGTCCAGGTTTCTTATTGAAATTGAAAAATTTTGGGTTTAGGTTTGGTTTGGACTCAACCATAAAAGTTTCACGACTAATAGGTTCCATGTTCTTAGGTTTTAACTCTAACTCTTTATTCTTCAATGCATTTATTATCATATCAGTAGTTAGAGTTTCCTTTCCATATTCAATAGCATTTTTAAAATCTCTATATTTATCACTTATTGAATTTAACAAAATCACAACCAACTGATCTTTTGACAGTTTCTCATCACAATCAGCGAGGTCACAAGATAATCTATTGAATCTATCAATGCTTACCTCAAGATCAAAAAATGGGTCCAATTTGAAACCAAAAAATTATTTTAGAAGATACACTTTATTATGCATGGTTTTATTCAGATATGTATCTTCCAATTTTTTTCCACAATTCATAGTAGTTTTTGTCTCACCAATCTGTCTTAACACATTGTGAGACAAATGCAAGAATATAGAACTCCATGCAGCTTCATCAAGTTTAATTTTCTTAGTTTCTTCCATATCATTAGGCGATGGTCCATCAATAGCTTTTGCACATTTTTGTTGAAGTAAAAGGGCTCGCATTTTCTGGCGCTAGAGACTAAAGTCTCCTTTACCATTAAAAATTTCCAGTTCAACTTTAATTAACATGATCAAAATACAATTTGATTTTTAACAGTGCAGGCAGATCATATAAATTTTGAACAATACATACAACATGCAATATCTCAAATATCGTACACAGTAATCAATGTAAAGTGTACAAACAGCAAGTTGTATGTCACAGATTATTTAGTAGAAAACTCAACAGTTGATTCATTACATGAATAAGCAGTTTACTCAAAAACGACAAATTATCAAGTCACAGTAACATAATCACAACATGCCATATACACTATATGCAAAATACTTGCAGGAATCATAAAATGGAGCTTGAACTGTCGACTTTTAATTCAAGATAACCCTCAGATTCCAGACAACTCGTGATTTCTGGACAAAGGAGCTACCAAGAAGTTTTTGATTTATAAATTTTACCACAATTGCAAGGGTCACAGAGTATAGGCAAATATTATATACTGTAACTCAAAATAACAGGAATGAATTCATTTGAATCCCTTATTAGGGTGTTGAGATAAAATTAACAGAGGTCTACTGAACAATTTCAGGAGCAGTCAAATCTACCACACCGATGTGCCAAGAACCACCGTCATGTGCTCTGATACCACTGTAACACGAGTTTACAAAAAAAATCAGTCACTTAAACTTAACAAAAACCCGAAAATAAAACCGTAAAATCTAAAATGAAGAAAAATTGTAGAAAACACAAAAAAAACATGGGATTTTCGTCCTAAGACAAGAGGTTTTGAACTTCGTTCCTAATTTCCTTTTGAGCTTCCATCAAACCAGAACAAAATCACTATATCAACTGAATCAAGAAGCTGTCCGACATATACAACTTGTGGCACTTAGAAATAATTACTCAAGATAATTTCTACATAAGTCTCACAACATCGACAGTGGCCGTTCACTCAAGAATGGCTCCAATACACTTCATAAAATCACTTAGAATTAATACAAAAGGCAAATATTTATGTTGAAGGAGGCTTTCTGGACAGATTCTATGATTTAGAGAATCAATGATGAAAAATTCCAGAGAGAGTTGAGAGGCAGAGAGAACTCGAGAGGCGGGGGGAAAAAATAATTAAAGTCTCATGCCCAAGCCCTAATCAGAGATTAATATAGAAGACCCTAGAAGGTCTTGCCATCCAATGGTGAGTAGAGTGACACTTGGCAAAATCTGGACATCCATTCAACTTAAGAGAGAAAACGTATATTCCAGCAGCAACGTTTTTGCAAATTAAAATATAGCCAGCTCCATGTATCAATTGAATAATCCGGCCCACAGGCCCATCATTGTGCCACCAATATTCTCCACAGACTTCAATGCCTATGGATATTTACTCTAGTGGTCGCCCATCTTGGGCCAACATAGGCGATGTACAATGACCAAATACTCCAACAACTTCAAGTGGCCAACGACATCTGACTACTGAACATTGGTAACTAGCTCGTATTAGCAAAGGGCCGGACTCCGCCACAGGAGTTTGTATCTGCAGGGGCACAATTGTAGGCTGGAAAATAACTGGCTAACGGAAAAAAAGCATGTCCCTTGAAATTAATTAAAAGATAATAGCTTGAAAATTGTATTTGTAAATTTTTAGAACTATAAAACAAAATAAGAGAAACAAATTTTAAAGGAAATATTGTCCAATTTCACTTAACATATTAAGCCCATGTTTGATGGCCTTTATAAAGAAAAATTAGAGGAAAAAATGATGTTTTAAATAGTAATTTTTTTGGAGAATGCGTAATTAAAAATTATGAAAAAGTTTTACATTTATGTGTAAAATATTTATTGTACAAATATTTGAATAAAAATGAGTATAAGAAACAAAGAGTTTTAATTTGAAAAGAGAAAAACAAGGACTAATTGATGAATAGTGTAATCTATTTAGATCACAAGAAATCCAACTATCTTTTATACTATTGAACGTTTGCGAGAAATCATGGTATTATCACACTTTAAAAGTATGATGTCGTGAAAAAAAAAATGAATAAAAATATTGGCATGACAATTTCATATATATGACTAGATTGGATCTATTTATAATATTTTAAAATTCATTTATTTTTCATTTGACTAAACTTTATTGCAATAAAACACAAATTAAATAATTCAAAGGGATAAAATAAATTTATGCGAATGCGATTACACTTTATAATCTAGACACAAATTTAGCACATCTATATATTAAGGATTGAAGAGGATTGTGTCCAAAGTAGGCCAAGACAATGCATGACAAGAATTCAATAATTTGTTGGAATCCAAGATTGTTTATTGTTTGACAATTTAGGAATGATCCCTACATGTGGTTCATGTTCACCAAAAAGATCGGTGCAGACAATTTCTGACAAATCTGACGTCTTTGAATTATTAATTGTTGAAAACTTTTGCTTGCGGGGCACAATTTCTTTATCAATCTGAATTTGATTTCAAGGAAGAAATAAATATAACTTTTATAAAAATTCAAAATAATTGACAAAAATTGCTTCATGTACGAGCCATACACAAGCTAAATTTATAGGTCTAGAAGAGCGACTTAAATTTATTGTAAACTTTGTGCATTAGTAGATAAGTACCAGATTTTCTACTTTCAAAAATAGTAAAATAATTATTTTAAATCTTACTTATCACTTATAACTAAAGTTTTTAGCTTAGTCAAGTATGTTCTTGTTGGTAAAATTGGTGTATATATCATATTTCGATAACTGACATTTTATATATAAGAGACTGACAACATACGTACAAAAGACGAGTGTTGGATTCCGTTACCACGTGCAATGCATTACTGTCTTATGGCCAACTTTTGTTCGATCAAAATTGGAAAATGTCAAATGAACATAATGTTTGACATAAAAGATGACACTACACTCACAATCAAGGCGTAGGTTCCGCGCGAATAAAATATTGCCGACTCTCCATATGTGTGCTATGTCAACCCCTATGTTCATGTATCATGACCCATCAAAATTTCAATTTTTGCATTTCTTCTTTCTAAATTTACTGATTTCTACAAGTTGACATTCTATTCGAATTTTTGTTCAGTTATCGGAATATGATTTATGCATCAATTTACCAACAATTCTCAAACATTTTAGAAATTTAAGACAAATTAGAATTTTTTTATGGTACTCATTTTCACTCGGATGATGCTACATGTATATTTTTGTCTCCCTCCATGTGAGAGAGTGTCATGCATTATATACCCAAAAAAAAGTGAATAAGTGATAATTTAGTGAAGCGCCTTATTTGAGGACATGTTTGAAGAAATAAAGTCGTGCCTGTGAATTTTCCTATGTGGAAATTATCAAAATAGTCAACTTTTGACTTTGTATTTACAAAAATGACACTTTTTTTTTTTTTTTATATTGCAAGTATGTCAATTTTAGATAATTTTAGACATATTTGCCCTTAAAGCTAATTGTAAATACCCTACATATCCTAATTAAATGAGATTTGACCAATCAAAGAAATTGTACAAAACTCTGCAAGAGACGAAATTGAATTATTCGAGAAAAAAAAGCAGAGCAAAAGCCAAAATGTACCCTCCAATCCCCCATTCAAATAACCCTAAATCTCTCACTCACTCTCTCATTTCTCTCAATGAAGTGAACACGAGTATGTTGAAGATTTTAAGAATCTGATGAAGAATTCCACTGAATATCAGAATATTGCCAGCGATAGTTTAGCCATTGTATCTAAACTGCTCGAAATACTTGGAGATTTTGGGTTTCCAATTCATAGAAATCTTTTGGGGGCGGTGGATTCTGGGTTTTCCGGTTGGGTTCCAGCGGGTGACCGGCGGCTTCTTCAGGAGGCGATGCCGAAGCCGGATTTGACAGTGGCAAAAGACGGAGACGATGTCAATATTATAAAATAGGCAGTGGCAAGGATTCCAAAAAAGAGCAAAACAAGATTTGTTATATATATTAAAGCTGGTGAGTATGTAAAGAATGCGATTTTGGATAAATCTTTGTGGAATGTGATGTGGCGATGGAAAGATGGCCACCATAATTTCCAGCAGCTTGAATTTTGTGGACGGTAACCCAACTTTCTTCACAGCCACATTTGGTAATTTTTTTTTTTTTACACTTCTAATATAATAAACTTTTTTGCTATTGATTTTTTTTTTCACTCTTAAAAATTATTAATTCCTCGATTATTTGTTTGGTCACTTCAATTCCAATTTGAGATTATCCCCATCTATAAAGAAATACATTATTTGGCTCACCTATCTAACAATTAAAATAAATAATCTTGGTGTGTTTAATGTTAAAATTAGTAATCTTGATTTGTTAAGGTTAAGGGTAGAATCTCTCGGCCGGAAACTGGCATGTACATACTCACTGGTCGGTGAGGAGGAGCGGTGTGTGTGTGTGTGTGTGTTTCCTATAATTTCTAAGTCATAATGGTTGTGGCCAAACTTGGGGAAATGATGGAAAAGAAGAATAAGTTAATTGAAAATGACAAAAGTAAAATAATTTTAGTTGCATCATGAGTCTATACTCTGCACCTTAAAAGTGACCATGTCTTTGTCGTTTTGGTAATACATGGAGTGATTTTGTCTGTACCATCGAAGAATGGAAGAGGGGTCCCTTTGAAAGTTGTGTTGTTAGTGCTATAAGAATGGACGGTTCTCAATTTTAAAGTGATTATCATGTGTTGTAACTTTTAAAGATGTACCTATTATTAAAAATTGTGCATATGTAAGATTTTAATAGAAAAAAAATCTCACCAATATGTGAGAAAATATGTTGAGTATGAGATTTAAACTACGTACATGTAATTTTGTCTAACCATTTAATCTTTTAGACCATAATTTAGGAAACCCCTAAATAATATAATCAATGATTAAAACATGCCAGACCATAATTTAGGAAACCCTTGGGTTTAAGCCCACTCTTACACCGGCCGAGGCCTCAAAATATGGTGTACGGTTCCTCATTGATGGAGCTTCTTGGTTGCCTATGCAAATGTGGTGTTTGAGTCAACCTAAAGAATGGGAATCTGATGAATGCGGAATGCCTTTTGTGACATTTTTTTTTCTAATTTTAATTTCTTTTACATTAATTTTGCTATACATTTGTGAGTTTAATATAAAAGTTGATCAGTTATATATAATTCAATGTTTATAGATAATTTTTATATTTTTTGAGATCGAGTCGTGATGTAGTAATATATTTGTTTATTTATTGCTTTTTCATTATAAAATGAACTGGTAAAAAAACTTCATAGAGTTCACTCAAAATATATAAGGAATAAAAGTTTGTTTTTATTTTTGTTTTTGTTCTTGTTTTTGTTGAGTGTTCTCTAAAATTTTAATGAGTAATAAAACACTCATTATCAACACGAGGTTTTAGCAAATTGAGCAATAAGAAAAAAGATTCTTTTCTTTATTTCAAAGTAAGTCAGAAAATTGTAAATAATTGAACTGAAAAAGAATAATTCATCTTTAAAAGAAAATGTTTGTATTCTCTTCTTTGAGTTGCATAGCGGTAAAGTCATATACGTTAATTCGATTTGATTGATATCTTCTGACTATATCATTGAAACATATATTTGTTTATATGTTGATGGGTCTATTCCTTCACTTCCAACCATTGATGTTGGAGTTTAATTGTAAAAAGTATTGGTTAGAATTGGTTCATTCGTATGTCATGTGGTTGTTGAAATATAATGGTGTTGAGTGCAAAACACTTTTAGATACTAAAGGAATAAGTAATGGAGGTTCATTCATATGTCATGGAGGTTCGGAATACCACATGCCTCTAGCAGGTGGATAAAGGAATAAGTAAAATTTTTAGCTTGTTATTTTACTTGTGACATTTCATTTTATCATGGTTGAAGTTATATATTGTTTTGACATTGGACCTTTTCTTCATGTGACAAAATTCTTTATAAACAGCCTTTTCCAAGAAGTAATATTTCTTCTTTATTACAAATCGAGCTACTAATTCTACGGATTTCAGTTATAGTTTTGAAGAGAATTTTTAATCCGCATTTCTTGACTAATGGCACTGTAATGAACTGTCCTCTTGGGATTTGTATATTGGTCTTTTATAATAGGTATACCTGAATTGAAGTATGGAGAGTTCGTCGAGTTTATTGTTTCGGTAAGACCAGTATGTGTTGCTTATCTACGTTGATATATATCTGCAGAAAATCCCTAGACACTTGACAGCATACCTGCGATTTCCATGTTTCATTTTGCTCGAATATGAAGTTAAGTAGCTCTTGAATAATACCTATTTGTTTAGAGGTCAAAAGTAGATTTCCCGACGTTTCATCTGTTGATAGTTCACTTCAGTAGTCATTGAACCGTCGTTCTCTACAGTTAGCCTCAGTAATTCTCGACAGATGAACTGTCGGGAACGACAGTTCCTTTCCTCAGCACATAACTATTCCACATGTCCATCTCACCTCATCCGAACATTGCATGTGTGTTTCGCATTAACATGTATGAAATACTATGATGTCGTGATTTTTTTTATTTGTCATTGTAACATGTATAAAATACTATGATTCGCATTTTATGTTATACATTGCTTCACTTTGCGTTGTAGTTCCTCCATTATGATCGATTAACTCATTTTTCGTTGGCATGAGGCACGTTGCTTACGTTAACACCCGTGTCTTGCAAGTGGAAGTAAACCATTGAATTGTCAAAGGAAGATAACCATTACGAAGGTACAATGGGGACTGCATTACTTTGTCCAGGGAGATACGTGTTAGAGCTTCGCATGGAAGAACGTTCTGTTTTCCCTTAATGTGTAATAGTTACGTTACTTTTTTAACTTACTTTTTGTGATATTGATTACTGCGAATTGTGTAAGAGTATCATAATTTTGAAGGATGTAACAACGGTTATGTAAAAATGGTCGACTCATATGTCAAGCACGAAAAAATATTTTGATAGATGATTTTATAAGTTTGTCATTTCTCATGGGTTCGTTGTTATATTTGATTAAAGGACAACAACATTCGTTAATATTTTTAATGTCGTGATTGAAGTTCATTACATGCTACAATTAATATATAATTCAGTACTGATGAGAATTGATTATCAACAATAATAAAATGTAGGTGTCTTTAATTATTATACAAGATTTGAGAAACACAATTTTAACATATTTTGGACAAAGCGAATTGTACACAACATTTAAGAATCACAATTTTTCACAAATAATTGTTTAGATCCAAGAAATTGATTATAAAAAGCATGGCATCACTTCATTGTGAGTTACAGTTGAACACTTCATAACCTCTTTCACACTAGTGACTATTCGTGTACACATATTGTTTTACTAAGTACGACCATAACAAAATAATGGGTTCATCCACGAGAAGCAACGAACCTTTCAACCTGAACGAGCCTTTGCCAGTACTTGGTTCATTAAAAAAATTTCCATCATAATTTCATTTGACGATGACGAAGTCATCCCTCGAAATGGTTGGAGACTCATTTCCGCCGTTCATTTTCCCAACATGGACGATGTCTCAAGTGAAGCATCGAAGTTCTAGGTCATAGATCCGTACGAAGAAGAATTCGACCATGATGAAGAGTGGTTGTCGAACGCTCCGCCTCCTTAGTAGTTTCAACAGTTTTCGAGTATTCAATTTGATAGTTAAATTGTATATCCCAACAATTTGTAAATGTCGGGTTCGACATTTAAAACGTCTAACCGGACAATTTGTAAATGTCAAATTTGACGAACTGTCAAAAATGTCGAGAAGTAGACGACAATGAGTGGAACAGATTCTTCAGCATAGTAAATTAAGTGTGATCATTATATCACCATGTTGTATTTAACATTTACAAAATAATAAGCTATAAGAATAAAATATAAATAATTTCTAATAGTTAACCTCTTAAAATGAATAATGAATGCAAGAGAAATGTCTTCTTCATCAATGAAAATGAAGAAGATGGAGAAAAGTTATAAGTTCGAGGTCATAGATCCGTACGAAGAAGAATTCGACCATGATGAAGAGTGGTTGTCGAACGCTCCGCCTCCTTAGCAGTTTCAACAGTTTTTGAGTATTCAATTTGACAGTTAAATTGTATATCCCAACAGTTTGTAAATGTCGGGTTCGACATTTAAAACGTCTAACCGGACGATTTGTAAATGTCAAATTTGATGAACTTTCGAAAATGTCGAGAAGCAGACGACAATGAGTGGAACAGATTCTTCAGCACAATAAATTAAGTGTGATCATTATATCACCATGTTGTATTTAACATTTACAGAATAATAAGCTATAAGAATAAACTATAAATAATTTCTAATAGTTGACCTCTCAAAATGAATAATGAATGCAAGAGAAATGTCTTCTTCATCAATGAAAATGAAGAAGATGGAGAAAAGTTAGGGTTTGTATTGTAAAAAAAGATATATTTGTTTATGTTTCATTTTTCAAATTTTTTTTACCTTTTCTCATCAACAAAATTTATATTAATCAATATAATACACATTTATCAATGTTTTTAATATACAAATTAAATTATCACATCAACACAATCACTTTCCTTCATATCAAGCATTAAATGCTCCTAAAAAGGTGTCATTAAGGGTAAATTGGACCTTTCACACCAAAAAAGTTACATTTTTGAACAAATTTAGTAAATTACAAAATTTTTTGTGGATTTTCAAATTTAGTGACATCTATGAAAATTCTCCATTTTCTATTATGCAACCTTTTCTGCGCCAAGTTGCCATCTTTGACTGTTGCTGGAACTTTCTTCTATGGGCATTAATTAGAACCACTTGCGAAATATACTGTCAATTAGTATTTAAGAAAATTGACACTTTGGTGTACACTCCTCTCACAGGAGGAGATGGACTCCACGATAATAAAAAATATCTTGGGATCTCCCATATAAGGAGAGTGTATACCGGAGTGTCAGTCCCGATGTATGTGTAGCAACACTCTGCCTAGTTTTCAGGTCTGTTTAAAAGTCTAGGTTCTGACTACTACTTGTTTCCTGCCTATATCTTCAAATCAATTTTTATTTATAAATTTATTTTCCTCGAATTTTTTTTGTATTTTTTTTTTTTGGGCAAAAAGTCTGTTTTTCTACACAAAATCGAGTACTTAAACAGATTTTTTGAAATCAGAATATTCATATTCTATAATTTGTATAATTTGAATAGCATATTTTTTTCTGCAAATTTACAACCAATGTATGATTAAACAGCTTAATAAAAATAATACGTAATTAATTAGTCACCATAAAAATTTTAATGAGTCAAAAAGGAAAAAAAGCCATTTGCACAGGAATGTTTCACAGGAAAATTTCGCAAGAAGAGAGGTGGCTTCCTTGGATTGGATGATGCAGACTAATGTAGTGTTAACACTTGATATTTGGTAAAAATATCTGTGGAACTTTCTATGCTTATAGCAATATTATCAAAAGGGACAACGGTCAACGATCCAACAAAAAGCCATTTTAGATTCCGAGACCCATTGCAAATTCCAAAATTTATTTAAGGATTGTTTGATACAACTTTCGATAAAAATTTAAAATTGTGTAGTTAAAAAAGTTAAAAAAAATAGTGAATCTCATAAAATATATAACAAAAATTAATTATTATTTGAACATAACTTTTTAATATTTTCCAAACAAGCACTTAATTCAAATGATAAATCTATTTGTACAATATTTTTTAACAATATTGTTGACAATCCAAATCAATAATGTTATCACAACATTGTACGCTAAGCATGATTTATAATTCAAATGTTACATTATGATTTTCAACACTCTTACAGTCTACATGAATATCACGTGACAATTGTGTGGCTCACAATTCTTTATTATATTCTTTAGAAACTATTGAATATCAATAATGTTGTCAACAACATGGTACGCTAAACATGATTTGTACTTCAAATGTTACATTATGATTTTCAACATTCTTGCTATCTACATGAATATAACATCAGAATCACGTGGCTCACAATTCTTTATTATATTCTTCAGAAAATATACTAAATAATAATTAAGCGATGCTTAATTTAGATAAAATTTAAAATTTAGTAGATTTTGCCCTTGATTGGTACAAATTACAATTCAAATTTTAATTTATATCAAAATCAACAATTACCTTTAATCACACATTATATGAGATCCACAACTTTTCATTCCCACATTTTATCAACTTTATGTGTGATTGAAAATTTATTTGTTTATAAAATATATGATTAAAATTAATACTTTGACTTAAATTTTAATATTCATTTTTATTTGAAATTGAATTTAACGGCAAACCATTTTTTATTATTATTTTTTTCTTTCCAAGTCAAACTGACTCATTCCAAAGGAAAAGAATATACCAAATTCAGCGCCTGAGAGTTTGATAATATATATTAATTCATTCGTCTCCGCCGTTATAAAATCCACACCCCTACAATCTCTGTCAAAGTGATCCACTTCTCTCAACTGAACTGGGATTTCTTTTGAATTATTTTTGCCAAAAATATGGAGAACTTGCTGGGTTTACAAAGAATCAACGTCATCAGAGGCATAAAACTTGCTATAAGAGACGCCAGCGCCAGAAGCAGCGATCCTTATGTGGTCGTTACGATGGCCAATCAGGTAAACAAACGATAGCTCTTCTTTCTTCATACGACAACTTTTTCAATTCCTTAATTCGTCAGTTTCAACTATCAAGAAATGAGAAGTGAATCTCAGTTATATTCAGAATCTTTTTCAAGTATTTAAGAAACAAAATGAAACTTTTATTGAGTAATTTCCCATAAAATAGGAAACGAAATTTGAGTTCTGTGGAATAATTTGTAACTAGTCTAACTTATAAACTGGAAAGTGGAATTCAGCTTTCTGTTTTTTCAACCATTTCTGCTAATGTTTTGTGAATATAATTATTGAGCCAAAAACGCTAACTTTATGTATAATTGTAACAGAAATTGAGGACTCGTGCTGTGAAAAAGAATGTTAATCCTGAGTGGAATGAAGAACTCACTTTAGCTATTGCTGATCCAAATCTTCCAATCAAGCTGGTAACTTCTTTTTTTCTCCCGATACATAGCAACGTTAGGATCAGCAGATACATATGTTACCTTTTCAAATTTCTCCCTTAGCAGACTCAAGAAAAGGATCTCTATGTTGATACTTGTAGTCTTGTTCCAGTTATAATTATCATGTAATATTTTAGTGATTCTTATGATAGATTCTTCAAATTTGTCAGGAAGTTTTTGATAGAGATACATTTACTCCAGACGACAAGATAGGAGATGCAGAATTTGACATCAAAACATTTGTCGAAGTCGCAATGATGCGCTTGCAGAGCATGACAAGTGGAACTATAATCAGAAAAATAAAACCAAACCGGGAAAACTGCCTAGCCGAAGAAAGCCCTATTACCTGGGAAAATCAGAAAGTAATCCAGCGTATGTATTTGAGGCTTAGAAATGTCGAGTGCGGGGAAATTGAACTACAGTTGCAGTGGATAGAAACCCCAGACTCCAGGGGTTTGTAATGTGATTTATGGTGTCAAGTTTGCACAAGTTGTACAGTACCGATTGATTTGCTTCTTAGTTATAAGTACTCGTAAATCTAGTCAATTTTTCCAGAATCGTAGTAGCTTCAGGACAATCCTTGGCTCAAGATGCAGGATCCATTCTACTTTCCTCCTTAAAAATTGTTACGACGGAGAATGTAAAACTGGATAGCCGAGGAACGTATTTAATCTAGACTTGGTTTTACTTTGTTCTGATCTTAATGAGCTATTATGGGTTTCTTGTGGAGGAATGTAAAACTTCTTATACGCAGAAGAACAATTGGCGAAGCCATCATTCACAGTAAGTGTGGCCTTGAAACTTATGTACAGTTCCAAAAGATATCCGTCCTCGGCTATGGAAGTAATGGATCTTTTACTATCATCTATTGCTTCAATCTTTCCCTTTACTGTCATCGGAACCCCCCCCCCCCCACCAACCCAATAAAATATTTGAAAATCCAATCAACAATGAAATACATACCTGGAGCTAATTAGTTGGAACAAGAGCGTTAATATTATCTAATAAAAGTAGGATTGTGTTTGTGTATCCCAAAAATATTATGTGCTTTAATTTTTCTATATATAATGGGATGGTCATGAATTCCATCTCGAACAGTCTCACCAGTCCAATTTTGGAGTGTGCTTGAGGGTTTAGAGTGCATAAGAGATTATACAATTTTTTCATATGGAGAAATATCTTTGTCTTTAAAATTCCGTGATTTTTCTTCGCTTTGGGGATTTTTCATATAAAACTTGTGCTATTATTTTTCTAGCTTCCAAATAAAATTTTTGAACACAATCTTTGAAGGATTGATCTCAATTCCGAACAAATGGAACATACAAATTTTCATACAATTTTTCGTGGCCTTCAATCTTCATTCCATAGTTAAGTGCAACCTTCGCGTACATACAAAAAGAAAAATACAATTGGAAAGAGCATTTTATATACAACAAATAGCATCTTTAGATTCAAAGAGTATAAATTTTTTACACTTCAACAATGATCTCTAAAATTGATTTTTCTTTTCGCTTTTCTCAAAAAACATTTTATTGATTTCTTTTCATATTTTATTTAAAATATGTTTTTTATAAATCAATGACTAATTAATTTAAATAAGAGTTCAACAATTTAAGGACTTGAGTATTGAATAGTGATTTTTAGGAGTATGAGTGGTTAAATATTAGAAAAAAGTTCTGAGTTTACGTTCAAAATATTTTAGGGAAAATTGCAGCAAATGTGTGAAACCTTTCATTTATTAACAGATTTTGTCTAGACTTTTCATTTGTGCCACTGTAAGTACCAAACCTTTACAAATTTTGTAGTTTAAGTCCAAATTGATAGTTTCTATTAGTTTGATCCCAAAAACTGTCAGTTGACTACTTGACCTCGAAAAAAAATCTAATAATTTTAACCAAGAAAGGCAAGGGTAAAATTGTAACTTTATAATTTTAGTATAAAAAATAAATAAAATTTATTTAAAAAGGAAAATAAAAAACAAAAACCCATCTTCTTCTTCTTCAATCTCTCCCAATCCTTTTACCCCCAAAATCAAAACCACATCCAACCAGTTGGCGGTCAACGGCACCACCGAGGAGGCTTTTTTCAGCTTTGAAGACAATTTCTCCTCAATAGCATACAAAACAAGTAGGATAAAGGCACCAAATGTGCTAGAAAATCAGCAAAAAATCCTACAAGTTGCAATGTCCAAGTCACCGAGCTCTAAACAAATGCAGAAAACTGCAAAATAGACTATGTTGACCAAATTCAAATTCAAAAATTAATCAACCAGCACCTCTACACACACAATACATATATATTTTGCAATTTGGAAAACCCCAAGAACACACAGTAAAAGAGGTTCACCGAAAACCCCAAGAACAGAAGTAGCTAAACCTTGGCTGGGCGTCTCAAAGTAGAAGAAAAACAATCGAACACAAGAAACCTGAAAACAAACCAAAGCTGGAATCGGATAGAAAATCAGGCTATCCCAAATCTGAAACTCACCAAAAACTGCTAGCTGAACTGAAATAAGCCAAAGCAGAAAGTCTGTATACCATCAAAATGAAAACCCATCGATTTATTCATCATTTCCATCTTCTTCTTCGCTGCCACTTTTGACCCCGAAAGTAATTCCTTCCATGGCTGCAACATCACAGGAGGGTCCTTCTTCTATTGTGGCTACTGATGTTGTAGAATTAGGTTTGCATGCATCAATGAATGATATTGAAATGATGGAGATATGATCAATTGGGGTTAGGGGACTGGGAGAGATTGAAGGAGGAGATGGGGTTTTTGTTTTTCATTTTCCTTTTTAAATAAATTTTTTATTTTTTATATTAAAATTATAAAGTTACGATTTTATCCTTGCCTTAATTGATTAACATTATTATATTTTTTAATTTTCGAGGTCAATTGACAGTTTTTGGGGTCAAACTAATGGAAAAAGTCAATCTGGACTTGAACTGCAAAATTTGTAAATGTTTGGTACTTACAGTGGCACAAATAAAAAGTTTGGACAAAATCTGCTAATAAATGAAAAATTTGGTACCTTGGCTAAAATTTTCTTAATATTTATTGTGTGAATGTTTGGTTGAAAATAAATATGTAGAAAAATTATTTTATTGTTTGTCATCCAGGGTCTCACACATAGCAAAACTTGTAGAAAAAAGACTTTTCAAATAATGATCGTCAAATAGTGGTTAAATGAGTATTAAGAGACTCACGACATATAACGGTCTAAAATAGAAAGCATGTTATATGTGGTGAGTCTCTTAATACTCTAAGTAGAAAAAATATCAATTGGATTATGGATTATGTGCTCATTTGGCATGACTCTAATTACTTTTATTTCTTATAAAAGAGTTTTTGGATAAAATTATATAAATTTTTGTTTAAAAAACTAGTTTTTAGAAAGTACTTCTTATTCCAAAAGTGCTTTAAAATAAGTTATATTGGATTGACTTCCTTTAAAAGTTCTTATAACTACTAGAGGCACTTTAATAAAATTAGTAAAATAGGTTTAAAAATAATTTTTTAATCTCAAAAGCCATAACAAACGGATCCTATATCTGCACTCCTATCATTCCTCTTTCTACATGATGGAAAATACATATGGATTATGTTCACGGTATAACATAAAGAAGTTTTGAATCCAAAAGTTATACAGCCCATCTATTTTGAATAAATATGTTTGGTTGTGTTTAGGTTACTTATTTTTTCTAATATAATTCTTGTTTAACGAAATTTTCATTTGTAGAAAGTAATATTAAAATTTCGGTTCCATTCTAAAGTGTCAACTTTGTTTGCAATAATATTTTAACCGAAATCAAACCTTTCGTACCTATCTCACAAAAAAAAAAAAAAAAAAAAAAAAAAAAAAAAGAAAATCGTGGACATTAAATAGAGAGCCACCGGAGAGATAAAGAAAGCTGTCCAAAGTGAAGGCGAAGGTCTTGGGTTGAGCCGAGATAAATCGGTGTTCGTTTGATTATTTTCTGAGCCCGAAATCAAAATTTATCGAGAGATTTCCGCTACAGTAATGGGATAGGAACCATGAATATCTAGTTCAAGAACTGAATTTGTCATTTTTTATAAGTTTTCTATTTTTTATAATTTATTCTCCTTGATCCAATGACTCAATGGGATGCAAATGGAATGATGCAATGGAAAGAAAAGTCACAATGTTGATTGTTATGTTGTTCTCAGAGGAAAGAATTTTTATTTTTTAGCATTTGTAAAAAAAAGTACTTATCGGTTTCAAATTTTTGATTTGTTCTTTGAGCATGTAATTTGATATTTATATTCTGTTGCACATTTGATGCTATTTGGTAACATATTTTGCTAGATAATGTAAGCTATTCAGAAAATTGTTGAAATATATATTTGGTGACATATTTTATTTCTTCCATTTCTATTAGATCTGAGAAAATAATTTGTATTTTTGGTCCACAATTTTGAAAAAAAAAAAATGTTATGAGTAGGATCAAATTGAAATCAACAATTCAAGTTCAGCTTCAATAATTACTTGGATACAATCTTTTCGATTTACAAAATATTCAAAGTGTAATAGATGGTTTTGAATATTAAAATACACAAACCAATCTACTCAACTCCCAAACTTAGCCCTTGTTTGAACCATTTTTGGGCCAAAATGTATTTTGAAATAGTATTTTGTTGAATGATGTTTGGTTAAAAAATAAGGAAAAGTTTTGAATTTGCATATAAAATTATTTTACGAGATAATGTAAGAATGAAAATGAGTTTTTGAAAAAATGGGGTTCAAACATAAATAATAATTAAACCACTTATATGTTAGTAACTCTAAAAATTGAGATGTCAAGAAATTATAAATACTATAAAGGAATTTTTCAAAAAAAAAAAAATATTATGCTTCAGTTTTGAATTCGTTTTCATTTTCCTATTTTGATATTTTGTTTTAAGATAACTAAAAATGTGTTTGATTTGCCATTTTGAAAAACTCTCTCAAAACATAAAATTAAAAAATATATTTGGTTTGAAATTTCAAGAAAATTTTTAAAATATTTTATTTCATTAAATTTGATTATTCATTCAAATAGAATAATTTCGTATTAATATCTTAACAAGCATTATAGATAATTTATAGTTGGCAAATCTTACAATTCTTTTTTTTTTTTTTTTTTTTTTGGCTACAAAAGTAAAATAAAAACAAATAAAATGTGTTGCAAACCATACGGAATAAAAAACAAATTTAATCAATTGGACTGAGAATTATTATCTGTGTTTATATAAACATTTTTTCTAGAAATTTTATGTAAATAACACTTAAGAGTTTGAACTATTTTATTTATTATTTTTTAAAATTTTTATATTTCTAAAATTTTATTTTTTAAATTTTAAGTATCATAATTTTTAGGATTTAATTTATTAGAATCTTATTTATTTTTTAAGAATTTTAGATTTTAATTTCAATTTTTTTTATTTTCTAGATTTCATCAACTTGTTATGTTTTGAAATTTCATATTTTATTTTTCTAAATTTTTTCTTAGAATTTTATATTTTAGAAATTTAAAATTTTTTATTGTAGTAAAATATTCGTTTAGTTTGTGTTTCAAATTTGAGTTTTGAGTTTATTTTTAATTTTCAATTTTTGGGTTTTGTTTTAAGGTTTCTAAAAATGTCTAAAAACTGTTTCTTAAAATAAAAAATAAGAAACTTCATTTGGTTTG